GTTTTTTTTAACAGGTATTCGTTTCAGTTCTGGACTGTCGATGGCTGCAGAGACTAGGCAGGTTTCCAGCCACTTCCCTCTTCCCCTATGCCCAGCCTCAGCTCCCTGCCCCACAGAATAGCACTGACATTTGTATTTCGCACGTCCCCTTCAGAGGCTTTGTTTTGTCCTGTTCATAGAGAACATTTTCTGCAGGTCCTACACAGTGAAACCTTTGGAACTGTACGTTTTTTAAAAATAAATGTCATTGGGGGGAGGGGGTTTCTGCTAAGGGCTGTACTTGTAATAAATTGGAAACTTAAAAATAAACATTATGTACTTGTGTTTGTAAAACTGGCTTGCAGCGAGTCCTTTGCGGGTGCCCTGTGTTTGTGTGGGACTGTCTGGGATGTCTTGCCTCTGCCTTCCCCAGAGCTCCCATCAGGCATGATATCACTGCCTGCCAGAGGGACGATGGAGCTGTGGAGCAAGGGATCAAGGGAACAGTGAGTCTGGGTCAGGTCAGCTTACAACTCTGAAAAACCATCTTCTAGTCCTCCTGCTCAGGTTTGGTTATACCATACCCTGAGCTGTGCCGGGGTTCCTGGTATCACAGCTGGGTTGTGCCATGCCCTCCGCAGCCCAGCTGATGTCACACACCACGCTTCTTTCCAAGCTGTGCTGGGCAGAAGGTAATGTGCTGGTGTCGACATGTGTGTTCTGAGCTGGCCCTGTTTATCATCCTCCCCAGAGACAAGGGGAGGCTGTGCTCTTGCGACCCCTGGACAGGGGGAGGTCACCAAGAGATGCAGGAGCAGTCCTTGGCCTGGCTGCCCCTTTCCGTCCCTTGTCTCCTGCAGGCTGCCAGTGTGACACTTGTCCTCCTGCCACAGCATGCAGGGTGGCACTGGGTAGCTCTCCTGCAGGGAATGCAAGGGGGTGATGGGGGAGCTGAAACATCTTTGCTCTTTCACCCCAGCATTGATGGATGGCCATCAAAACTGCTTCTCTTGTTTTGTTTGTGTGTGTTTTGCAGCCCCAGCCTTGTTGGCTGCAGCTCAGAAATCAGCAAGGACCATTCCCACTGTGTCTCTAAAAGCACAACTGGTCCCTAGCAGCCTAACGGGAACATGCTGGGCATAGTGAGTTTCAAAGGCGAGGCTGGGGAGGTGATGAACTAGTGCTGATGTACAACCCGTTTGTTATCTGTGAAGCAGATGTGTTGGCTAAAGTTTTGCCTGTGTTTCTGCCAGTGCTGCACTGCCAGGAGGGTGATGGTTTCCTGGGTGTTTTCCTTGTCCTCCTTGCTCAGGAGCTGAGCTGGGAGTGCTCCAGCCAGGTTTGTCTCTGCTGGGCAGAGGAAACCCCCGATGGGTTTGAGGGCTTGAAGGCTCTCGGTGATGGACAGATGCTGCTTTCCCCAGAGAAGCCTCAGCCCCTCTCCACAAGAGGTGGTTTGGCTTGCTGGGCATGCAACAGGACCTGGGTGAATCAGAGTGTGACTCAAGCTGGGATGTTTCCAGGCCTCAGTGTGGAGACTTCAGGCCAGCATCTGCTCTGAGACCTTTTCGGAGACTTCCTTTTTATAGCAGCCCCTGCATGGCATTAGTGTCCTGTGCAGGGGCTATAAATAGCTGTCCCTGTGCCCTGGCAGGCAAACATGCAGGGCTGGTGAGGAGCCGTGGCCCTGCTGCCCACTGGCATGGTGAGCTGGGGGATGGTCACTAGCCTGGCAACACCTGCCATCTCGCTGGGGCTGGTCTGTGACAAACCCTGATGGGGCATCTGTGTTTGCTGGAGTTCCAGCATGGCCTCAGGAGGAGGCCATGGGGGGCACAGCTTGGTCCCCCCCTTGGCTTCCTCATGTCTTCATCATTAAGATTAACCAATTAGTAGTCTGGGTAACTTGGGATTTTTAGCACATTCCCAGAGGACAGTGCCTTTCCTTCTGCTACTCAAAACCTGGAGGGAGCGTACTGCCTTGTGAGGGGGGATAATCTTCACAGCTCAGTGAGTGCTGGGGGGCACTAGGTTCGACTGCTCCATGTTTAGCTGGACCAGGACCTTGGGCTGTCCGGAGCCTGCTCTCACCCAGTGGCAGCCCCGGCTCAGTTTTGGCAGCCCTCCCTCCCACTGACACGGAGGACGGGCAACCATGGCAGCAGTGCCCAAGCTGGGGGGGCTGCTCCTGCAGGGATGGGGCAGTGCTGAGCCCTGCTTGCATCTCGCAGAGGGGCTTCTGCAGCAGCCCCAACCCTGCTGGAGCCAGGTGTTTGGCTGCCTTTGGGGATACTCCAAGTAGGATGGCGGGGATGCACGGATGACCTTGGGGGTGGGGGTATGGAGGAAAGCTGAGCCACCACCCACCCTCCCCCAGCGCAGGGTTGAAAACGGCTGGGGCAAGGGGACAGCTGGTGGCCCCAGCACAGAGCCCTTCCAAGGGGCAGCTCCAATTCAGGGCAGGCTCTGTGGAAAAGCTGTCTCCCCAGCAGGGCCAGCCATGCCTAGCACCTCAGCGCTGGCTTCCTCCGGTGGAGCCGGCTGGGCTGCCGGGGCTGATAGCATGTGGTGGTCGGGCGCCAGTGGCCCCACTGCTGCCTGATAGCTGAGGCCCGGCGGGACCAGTTATCTGGGGAGCACCTCGAGAGGCAGCAAGTTACTTGGCAAGTGCTGGGACATGTGCACGCCCCAGCACCATCGCTGGGCCGTGTGTCTGGGCATGCAAGTCAAAAGTGCACCGAGCTGGCTCAGGGCTCAGTGCCACAGGGCTGCCTGCCTGCAGCCGGGGGCTCGGGGGTCCGGCACACAGGCTGTACGCCTGGCACAGGGACACGGTCCTGCGCCCCCCTCCCTGGGCAGCCCCTGCCCTGAGCTGTGCCCAGCTCCCCTGGCTGGACTTTGGAGCCTGTCCTGCAGCCAATATTGACTCTCCTGCCCCAGGTCACGGCCCTTTTATCTGCCCAAACAAACCCTCCCGTGGCAGCCAGGGGAGCCCATGAGGCTGTGACCCCCCCCCAGCAGTGGGGACCAGGTGGGGTCCCTGTCCTGGCACCACCACCAGCCAGGGGAAGGGGCTGGGTGCCCGCCAGCCCAGCCAAAGGCACACCTGCCTCCCAGCATCCCAAATCAGGCGTGAGCCCCTCAGTATGTTCCCCCCCCGCCTCGACCGCCAGCACCACACAGGCAGTAGGAACTCCTTTGCACCTCAGCTGCCGTGCTGGCTTCCAGGGGAGGCAAAAGGTTTTCTCAGCTCAGTCACTTGATCCCACCACCATCCCTGCACCCCCAGAGGTGGTGGGGCGGGGCAGGGGAGGGGGAGATGGACGGATGAAAGGCACTTCACTGCATCAATCACGGCAGCACAAAGCCCTGGCACAGCACAGCAGTGGGTTAGAGGCCACCGAACCCAGCACCTGCTGCCACTCCGGCACAGGGCAGGGGGGGTCTTGCACCTCTCCTTCTGCAGCCCGAGCTACAAGGGCTTTTGCTGGAGTGGGGGCTGAGGGGTGTTGGTGCAGGCAGGCAGCGGGTGCTCGTTTGGACGCTGAAAGGAAGGTCCCTCAACTGGCTTGTTGCTTCCTGGGCAAGAGGGATGGGGGACCCAGAGACCCTCACTGAGGCCCAGCACTGCCCCAGCCTGCGTGCTGGCTAGTTAATGAGCAATTAGATGATGGACAAGGCTGAGCATCACCAGGGCTGCCTGTGTCCCTGCCCACAGCCCCCTTGCCCACCCTGGCACCAGGGCAGAGCCCATGACTCCCCCCCACCCCCCAGCACTGGGAAACCACCGCACATCCCCAGGAGAAGCCAGACAAACCAGCCTCACGAACCCTCTGCAAAGATGAGCTGCCCCCCCACCTCCCGCAAGGTGTCTCGGGGCAGGGTGGGCAGCAGCCCCCACTGCTGAGCTCCTGGCAGAGCCACCCTGCCCAGGAGGACGGTGGCAGCTGCCATCGCTGCTGGCCTCATGCCCTGGCCAGCCCGCAGCGAGGACAGCCCAGGCTCCCCCTGCCAGCCCCGGCGACACCAGCTGAGGCTTGAATTTCCCTCCGGACAATGGGGAAGGCAAGCTGGGATTGTAACTGGAGCGGGGGATAAATAAAGCTGCCCAGAAGTTTCCATTACCCGCACCTCGGGCTTCTGCGTGGGACATCAAAGCTGAGCCCTCTCCGCCCCAAGGTCCTGCGCCCCCAGCCCATCACCCCAGCTCCCATCCTGCTGTGCCCCGGGTGCCAGAGCACCGAGCCCCCTCGCCTGGCACTGAGGCCCCAGCAGCCGATGGCACTGACGCAAATCACCTACAGAGCGCAGAGTGGAAAAGATGATTCGTTAGCGTGACAGCACAAGAAAACCCTCCTCCTCGGCTGGGAGGCAGCGGGCGCCAGCACTGGCCCCAGGGAAGCCACAGGGGGAGCTGGATGCAGGGACCCCCCAGTACCACACTCCTGCTGTAGCCGGCAGCACCCTGGCACAGCACTCTCACCCTCTTTCCACCATCAAGAGAGTCCCCTGGCCCCAGCATGCACCCGCCATGGGGACCATGGCCCCAACCCGCTGAGCTGGGGGGGCTCCTGTGGGGCTACTCTCGACCCCCTCAAATTTCTCCAAACAGCACCAGGCTTGGCTGAAATAACACATCCAGGGTTTATTGTTTTTTCCATTCCTTGCAGCTAATGATTAAAAAAAAAAAAAAATTCTAAAATAAATTACAGAATTAAATAAACACGGACTGGATTATTCTCCTCCCTGCCCCGACCCCGCCAACCCCCCAAAGAAAGCGTTAGAAGAGTCACTGGATTTGGCAACAGCAACAACAACAAAACAACCTCTAGGAAAAAGCAGCTACTTGTCAGGGTCGAGCAGAGCCAGAGGGGGTCCCACGGGCCTCACCACCCCAAACCAGTGTGTGTCCCCACTGCCACTCAGCCTCTGCCCTCGCCCCCAGCAGCATCCCCTCACCCCTTACCCGTGAGGCCGGCTTCCCCCGGCGCGCCATCCCCAGGGAGGGGGCAGCCCCCACTCTAGACGTGCGTCGGGTTGTCCAGATACGGGTCTGTCTTGGTCATGTGCAGCATGACCGTGGGGGCTTTGTAGTGGCAATGCACCCCGCCACAGCTCACCCCGCTGCAGGGCTTGCCCCTCGTCCTCACGCTCAGCTTTCTGTTGCACAGGCTCTGCCAGGTCTGCAGCGTCTTGGAGCTCCACACCCACACCCCGCTGGTGATGCCCACCACCAGCGACATGAAAATCTTTAGCATAAAAATGGCCACGGTGGGCACCGAGGCCTCCAAGGAGCAGTTGGCAGCACGCCGGCCAGGGAGGTGCAGGCAGCCACGCTCCAGGGCCCTGAGGTTCCAGTAATCCACGTTCAGCCGCTCGTAGAAGTAGCAGACGATGACACAGGTGGCCGGGACGGTGTAGAGGATAGAGAAGACCCCGATCTTCACCATCAGCTTCTCCAGCTTCTCTGTGTTGGTGCCACCCGTCTTCATGATCTTCCGGATGTGGAAGAGGGCGACGAAGCCCGTGAGGATGAAGGAGGTGCCGATGACCAAGTAGCAGGAGAGCGGGATGAGGACGAAGCCGGTCAGGGCACTGACATCCATGCTCCCCACATAGCACAGCCCCGTGAGCTCATCCCCTGCCACCTTCCGCATGGTGAGGATGACAATAGTCTTCATGGCCGGGATGCCCCAGGCAGCCATGTGGAAGTAGCTGCTGTGGGCCTCAATGGCCTCATGTCCCCACTTCTTCCCAGCAGCCAGGAACCAGGTGAGGGTGAGGATGACCCACCAGAGCGAGCTGGCCATGCCAAAGTAGTAGAGGATGAGGAAGACGATGGTGCAGCCCGTGCTCTCCAGCCCCTCCTGGATGATGTAGAGCTCGCCATTCTCCCGGTCGCAGGCAATGTTCTCGGCCCCTGCCACCGAGCGGATGATGAAGGCCACAGAGTAGACGTTGTAGCACATGGAGAGGAAGATGATGGGCCTCTCGGGGTACTGGAAGCGGTGGGGGTCAAGCAGGAAGGTGAGGACGGTGAAGGCGGTGGAGACGAAGCAGAGGGTGGACCAGACAGCCATCCAGATGAAGGCAAAGTCCTTGTCCTCCCGGGACCAGTAGACGTCCACCCCGGGGGAGCACCTGGGTGCGCAGGAGAGGCTCTTCTCCACGTACTGGAACTTCTCGGGGTTGTCACAGGCCCCCAGGCCGTTGGGTCCCCGGCCCTCGGCGGTGCCCGGTGGCCAGGGCCGGGGGGCCACGGGCAGCATGCCCTGGCCCTTGTGGGGCTCAGCAGCCGAGGCGTTCTCTGGGGCCTCCATGCAGAGGGCGTTGGGGTCGTTCTTGGTGGGCAGCTTGCCGCAGTCGAGCGACTCGGGCCAGCCGAAATTGAACTGCTCCATGATGGGGACGCACTTGTGGCGGGCCTGCTCGCACATGGGGCGGCAGGCGGGGATGCTGGCGCTCACCTGGTCGGTGCACATGGGCGCGTAGAGGGAGCAGAGGAAGAAGCGCAGGTGGACGTGGCAGGCCGGGTCCCCCC